TGGTTACATTTAATTGGCATACGCTGTGTTTTTCCATAAAATTGTAATCTGTACGGTCTAGGGTCAGGTAAGTATGGTCCCCATTAGTTTTCTGCTTTCTTTGCTGGATGTTTTTTCTTCTGAAGATGCAACTTCAGAAAGATTGGTCCTAAATCTCAAACTTTTTTCTTCTTTTTTTTTTCATTCTAATTTTCATACATGTGTGAATGGTGCAGTAACTGGGAACAAGACGAAACAGTTAGACTTGGAATAGGTATACAAAAAGAATGGATTAGCAACCTGAACTCAAGAGTATAAGCGATTTAATAAAGGGAATGTCTCCTGAGTGACTCTTGACCTACTGGTTCTTGGGCAAAAGCTGCTTTCCCTGCCAAGTTACTCCTGATGCCTCACGACATGGCTTTGTCACAGAGTTTGAAGAGGCGTTTAAAGAGGCACACATTACTGAGCTCATTTTTTTCTCCCCACTTATGCTGCATATTGGGAAACGGGTTCTTCTATAGGAGCTGTAGAGATGCTTTCGCTGCCTGCCGGCAGCCTGTGCATGTTGCCAAAAGACAACTTTTCCTTGTTTAGTAGCAAATCACCTGCGTGCTTCATGATAATTTGGTGTCTTTAGCATTTCTGTGGGGTAGGAAAATACTCTGATTTTAGTGGTGAGGAACAGGGATGCTAGGCCGTGAAGGAGTTCCCTGACTGTAGCCTGGCTCTAACTTCAGACCTGCCCTGCAGCCGTTTTGAGAGGGGCTGGCTAATAACAAGGTATCAGTGTCTGACACTGCCGGGGTGTTTTTGGGTGCTCTGGATGGAGGTGCGTCTGGGTGTCCTCTCCTTTGGAGCTGCTCCATCTGCTCGGCTGTCCCCCACAAAACGCTTCCCCCCCGCCAGCTGCAGGTGACCCACAGGGCTGCAAGTCCCCATGGCTCAGGCTGCTGCTTGCAAGTGCTGCTGCCCCAAAGGCAGCGTAGGGCCGGCAGCACACCTCTGCAGTCGAGGGCCTGCCGAAAGCCACCGCAGAGCAAACTGTATCCTTCAGCCCTCAGTCAAAAATACTGCTTAGACAATAAGCCTCAGGCTTTGAGATGCATGGAAAACAGTGCTTCGATCTTGGGACTGCTGTAATGCCTTGGGTGTGATACACAGGACTTTACGCCTATGGGCAACAGCCACTTGCATAGAAACTCTTTCAAATCAGTGTCAGAAAGCATGTAATGGGGCCCTAAACCATGCAGGTTGGGCTCAAGTCTTGACTTGCCTGTGTTAATAAAGGCATTAGAGACTGGTCAGTTGTCTTAGTACTCATTTTGTGTGTGTGTCCACACTAGCTGGGTAATGCAGGCGCCTTGAGGCTATTATACGGTCAAGGAAGCGTGGGACAACTAGAGAGGGACGAGAAGACATGAGCTGACTTACCTGTAGAGGAAGGAAAGGTAGGAGGAGCTGCTTAGGGAAGAGATGAGCTGGGCCATGGGCTAGAGAAATCTATTGGGAAAGACGGAGCCGTTCAGAGAGCAGGATCACGTGGCACCGAGTGGAGGGGATCCCATGGCACCGCTGATGGGAGCCTTGGGCAGCGATCCCCTGGGAACCGGGACGCTACCAGAGGGCTGCAGCTTTAAACAAACCGTGTGATGCACATCGGGGGCATCCCGATGGCACTCGGAGCTGCCTCTGTTTTACACAAGCTGCCTGTGACGGCTCGCTCTTCCTGCAGGGGAGTCACGCTGGCAGAAGGCCAATCAGTCAACCAAACCCCCAGGATTTTGCAAAACGAGTTTAATTCATTAAAGCCTACTTAGCCTGGCACTTTACAATGGCTGCTCACTGGCTTAGGCCCAGCTTTGACTTGGACTAGTAACCTCATTGAGATTGGCCCTGCAATCCAAATAATTCGCGCTTGTCCTTGGGAAGAATGTCTGGATTAAACTCGGTCTTCTTACCAGAAATCCCGGAGGAAGTAAGATCTGTTAAACCATTTACAAGCAAATACAGCAAGGAAAAAGAAAATACTAACCCTCTCTTTAATACAAAGAATTTTTCCTCCAGAGCTGTAAAAGTAGATCAGAGCACTATCAGTTTGGGAATAATATTAAATATCTTGCAGTTTTGCTCCCAGTAAGGGACTCGCCTCTAAACAGCAGTCTGGTCTCTATGGATCTGCTGCCACTTTGGTAGCTTCATCATCCAGAATGGACACCACTGTTTTTGCCTGGGTTGTGGGGAAACTGGAGGATACGCGTGGATGAAGTGAAGGGAAAGACCAGGGAAAAACCCATCAGTAGGGCATGCTAATATTATCTAGACTCAGTGTGAGTGAAAGACTGGTGAAAGAACTAAATCCAGAGTTTTATAAGGATGTCAGCTTCAAGCCCAAAAACCCAGGGGGATTTACAGCTAAAGAATGAGGACAGAAAATACACAGATTTTACTGACCATAAAAATTAATAGCCAGGAAATTTTGGTGGGACAGATAGATAGCTTGCACAAACAGATGGCCTGGAAAGGAAGACTGTGGGTCTCAGGCCCTGGAGGAGAAAGGGGGTTTTGGCAGGGCTCAGCGTTTTTGGGGATGGCCTCTCCGGGCACTGAGGGCTGGAGCAGGGTCCGGAGGGCAGGGACCAGCCCCTCGGCTGCCCCGGCCC